ATAATGTCATGGTTACCTATAAGAGGGAGCTTGTCCATCACAGGGGTGGGAGGTGATTGCACCATTACAGTATCAGAGAGAAGTCCTACTTTGGCCAGGAGATGGGGCAGGATCAATGACTCCAATTTTTTCACCATCCCTTTTTCTCATCCTGCTGCCCCATGAACCACAGATGTTTTAAAGAGTCTGCTTACCAGGGTACATTAATATAACATAATTTCCCCCTATTTTTTCAAATAAACAACCAGTGTCATTCATTAGCACAAGAGACCCAATGCATGATATAATTCTGGCCTCAAGCAAAAAAAGTCAATGTTTCCCTTGATTGGGCAAATTTATTATGAAATGTGTATATTTTCCTATAGACTTTCTGAACTATTTACTACAGCTCCGCCCCTTCCTCCCCATACACTTACAGATTCCTGGATATCTCTGGGCTCCAGGCTGGGAACTACCATTCTATCATAACCAAGATCTCTTCCAACCAGGGGTCTCTCTGAACTATGAAGTATTGACTTCTTATGTTCAGGCGTTTGGAGAACGAGCAATAGATGTGAACTAAAACAGTCAGAGAAGGCTTTCAGGAAATGAAAGGCTTGAGATGGGCCTTGAATCGTGGGCAAGCTTTGGATAGGTGGGGAATGGGGAAATGGGTGTCACCAGGCTAAAGGAGCAGAGTGTGGTCTAAGACTGGGAAGCAGCCAGCCAGGCTGGAACTCAGGGTCAGGAAGTACTTGTGGATACAAGGAAAAAAGAAGTAGATTGCAACTGATTTTAAGTGCCAAGATAAATTATCCTCCACATGATGGGAATCATCAAAGATTTTAGAACAGGAAAATGATGTGTCGGGAGTGTTCTTCTTGGCAGATGAATCTGGTGCCACTACATACTTTGAGGTGGGAAGAGAACACCGAAGGGACCCAGTCAACAGAACAGATGTGAGAGAAAGAGCCTCGACTGGAGAAGGCGGCAGTGAGCGAACAAAAGCAAATCCAAAAAACATTTTTTAGAGGCACAGGACTTGAATTTGAGTTTGGAAGCATCAAAGAGACTCTAAAGTGTCTTGGAGTCTGCTGGTACCAAAACGAGACAATCACCAAGTGGAGCTCACTGGGAGAAGGTGACCGTGAATGCATGAGGCATCTTCACACGCAACATCCTTCAGAGGGGTTACCTTTGCCGGTGGGCTTGGAGGAGCAGGCAAGGTGGCTGTCACATCTTACAATATATAACCTCTCTTACTGAAGGGATTTTGTGTAATTTTTACTTTGTTTTTTTGTGCTTTTTGGAATTTTTCAAATAATTATTCTAATTCCATGCAGACTTCCAGAGTCTCGTTAACCCTTTGTAAGCCATTAACCATTTGTAAAATGGCTCCTGGTTTGCTCCCTCTCCCCTGCAGGAATAGGGAAGGAAAGAATGATTTACAGTGTCCACTGGGGTCTCTGAAAAACCCTTGTTGGGGGTTTATTCTCAGCTCCTGAGTCTGTGGTTTCCCCTTGGATGTGTGTGTCATGGGGTGTCTTCTCAATGAGCCTGCTTCTATCTCTGCCTCCTCTCGTCACCGCCCCCTGCCCCAGCAGGGCCTGCACCTGCCCTTTTAAGGCTCAAATATCATCAGACACCATCTTTGAAGCAGGATTGCAGTGCTGAGCTTGGAAAGACTCACCTTGGGATTCTTATAGCTGAATCAGCCCAGCCCAGCCCAACCCATGAACCACACTCCATACAGGACAGAAGATGGAAGAGCACAAGTTCTTCAGTCACAGCACCTGTGTCCAAACGGCAGCTCTGCTACACATTTCCTAACCTGTCAATTTTCTCATCTGAAAAATTGGAGATAATAATGTATGTATCTCCTAGAGGTTTTAAGTGGGTTAAGTGATGATAAAAAGCACTTAATAAGTGTATCTATCATTAGCATTAATAAGAATAATAAAGTAATATATCTGTATGGCCAAACTTGGTTGTTTGATGGCAAAAATAACTCTAATGCACCCCCCATCTTGGTTCCCACTGGTGGCATTTATTTGCCTCTGCCTCTCCTTGACTGAAATTTTCTTTTTCCTCCCGTAACAATAACTAAGAGAAGACCTGAATCAGGGCCTGAGTCACTGCTTCTGATTTCATGGTGTTCTGCTCTGCCACTCAGGATTTGTGTGCCATTCAATAGATACCTTAATCTTATGAGCCTCAATTCACTCATCTATAAAATGGGGGTAATAACACGGACTTCACAGGATGCGTCAAGAGGCTAGATGATTCCTGGTGCACAGGCTTTCAGGACATGACAGCTCTTCATCAGGGTTCCAGGCTGGGGCCAGCTCTTTCCTGCCTGCCCACCCACTCCACCCTCCAGACCCTCCACAGTCTCCTTTGTATTAGTCCCTGATGGTTTAGGGTGCATCTTGCCAATTACACCATAGTCTCCTGAGGGCAGAGGCAGGGCCAAGGCCTCCTTAACTGTAAGAAGCAGTCTTCCTCCTGGGCCTGAGGCCAGACCAGCCCCTAGGGGCAGCGGGAAAAATGAAAGAACTGTCAGCCCTCCAGAGGTCCAAAACCAGGTGCACAAACTCAACTGCCCTCTTCCTTCCTCTTTTCTCTCCACTTTCCAAACCATAGCCCTGAGGCTGCTTGAAAAGAACTGGTTCTTTCTGTACCACCATGGCCTAAAAGAAAAGTTACCCCATTGATTCAGGGTGCATTTGGCTTGTTCAAAGACAGTAGAAGGGTTAGATCTAATCACCCAGCCTCTAGGCTACCATCCCCATCTTTCTCCCATGCAAAGGCCTTCAGACAAAGGCTACAGTCTCTCTTCCACTCCCCTCTGCTGCCAGACTCCATCCATGACCCACTGATCCACTGACCACCTCTCCTTCCTTCTCTCTGCTTCTCCATCTGCTCAGGGAACAGAGACCCTGGGCTTCAGCCCTCAGTGTTCCCCTTCCCATAGAGGGTCTTCAGGACAGTCTCTCAGATCTAGGCCAGGTCCAACACCAAGGCAGCCCCCTGCTCCTTTTCCCCAGGTGATGGCTCTAAACAGGTACTACCTTTCTGCTGTCTCCATCCTCAGCCCCACCTACCCCCCAGCTCCTCCAATCCAATGACACAGTGAAGGAAGAAGACACATCTCAGCCAGCCAGGAAAGGGGGAGAAAGACGCTGTCACAGAGCATCACTCTGGCTGGGTGAGGCTGAGGAGGAGGGAGGAGACAAGTACCCTGTCCGACACGAAGCCTGAGAGGAACACTCTGGACCACAGACCCCGAAGGCCAGATAGAAAGACCAGCGGGGCAATGAGAGCTTCAAGGGCCCACAGAGCCTTTGGTTTCTGGGGTTCTAGAGGGCCTTACCCTATGACACGGTCATGGAGCCAAAGTGGCTCATGTTCCCATATGGAGACCCACAGAGAGGAACTAAGCTCTTTTCCAGAAACGGTAGAAAGATCTCTCCCAAGCCACAGCTTTTGTCTGTCTTTGCCTAACGACCCTTCTCAGGATTCAGAGGGTTTTGTCTCAGTCTCCCTGTTTCTGCATCTTTGTCTATCTTGTCTCCTCTCTCCTTCCCTCTCTGCTTCCCATCTCTGTCTCAGATAATTCCTGGGGACTCTGCCCTGGGGCTCCCGCTCACCAGTGTGTAGGAAACCTGACCTTCATCATCTGGTTTTTATATTTTGGAAACGTCAGCTTCACTTCCTACCTGAGGGAAGTGGGGGGTTGGGGAGCAGCTGCCTGGCTCCCCCCCTTTCCCTCCCCCTCTTTCCCTGAATCCCCTCCCTTGCCCAGCTCCTTGCCCCAGGGAGGACCAAACCGAGGTCTTTCCTGCTGTCCTCACTGAGGCATCAGGAATCAGGCCCTGACTCACGGTCTTCCCTCCACAGCTCTCCACCGAGTTGGGGAGGCAGTGAGGCCTCTGCTGATCCACCACTGGTTTGCTGATTTGGGAAAAAGTGAAAATTCCAGGCACAGAGAAAGCCCAGGAGGCTGCAAGATTTCACCAGTGGAAACCAGAATGGAAAGTAAAGTCATTTCTGCCTCTAGGCAGAGTTACAGCCAACCAAGTCATCTAACATGTTGTTGTAGATGTTTGTGCAAAATTATTATTAATACTAGCAATAGATTACACATACTGAGTACTCTTCCTGTGCCAGCAAAGATTTTCTATGTCTTTGCATTTCATCTACTCAACAACTTTATGCAGTAGGTACTATTATTACCTCCCATTTTCTTAATGAGAAAACTAATACACAGAGAAGTTAACTAACTTGCCTGAAGTAACTCAGCTAATGAGATCTGAACCTAGGTTTCTCTGACTCCAAATCCCAAGCTCCTTACATCAGGGTTTCCAAGACCTGAGAAATATATTTTGTACATTTCTTTTTAAAGGAAATGCATCCACAGAGCTCTGAGAATATACCTTCAAGTTCTCAGTGACCTACCTACTCCAGCTGGAGGAGCCTTGTCTGTAACTCACTATTTCTGGAAGACCTTGAAGAACCAGCTAGCAGAGATTGTGTGGAAAGGCTAGAAGAGGGCATTTCAGGAAGAAGGAACAACAGGGAGGGCAATGTGGGAAAGTGCCGGTGAGGGCTGCAAGTCAGGAGGCAGTGGCAGCCCACCAGGGGCATGGAAAGAGGGAACAGGGTGAGGTGTTCTGGGTCCAGCTCACAGAGGCCTACATGCCAGTTCAGTTTGTCCTCCAGGCTTTTGAGCAGGAGAGTAATACTCCAAAGAGGTGTTTGGGACCTGGGCTGGTGGGAAAAGGTCGACAGTAAAGAGGGCTGCTGAGAGGCTGGTATTATGATCCTGGCAGCCTAGGATGATCTGACAAAACATACAGAAGAATTGTCTCTAAAAGTCATTTCCCAGGAAATTTACCACTTTGAAGTCTGGGCCATCTGCCTCCTTCACGAGGTTTGCTATCCAAGTTAGTGTTCTGGTCGGGTAGGGATGTAGTAGAAAGAGGGAGGGGCCGCACAACAGTTTATCTGTAGTTACTGACCCTTCACACCAGCAAACACTCCGGTCTGAGGCTGCTGTGGCCCTGAGTGAGCACTGGAAGAGAACTCTGTGTGAACACAGCACTCAGAACTCCAAGCTGGGCACTGGCCTGAGGACTCTGGCCTAGGCGGCCCAGACAAAGGGCCCTGCCAGGTCTTGGGATGCCGTGGGTGGGCGAACTGTAGATCTGGAGGCTGAAGCAGCAATTCTGTGTCTTTTTCAATTCTCTGAAATGATGATTCCTCTCCCTGGGTGGCTAAAAAAAAAAGCAAAATTTGGTCAAGAACTCAGGAACCGCCAATTTAGAATTCTAATCTGTTCAAAAAGTTCAATCCCTTTTTTCCAGAGGCCAAAAACCTATTTTCATCAAAGACTGTATACGTCTGTGTGTCTGAGCTGGTGAGGGAGACAGAGTGGGTGTGAGAAGGAAAGTTGAAATGCCTTTGTTCCTGTGTATGAGGCTATCGTTCCAAGGGCTTACGTGCGTGTGTGTGTCATGTGTACATGCATGCTGCTTTCTCAGGCCCCTGTGTGCCCTGAAGTAACCATAACAGAAACACTGAAGCTTGGCAAAGATATCACAGGAATAATTATCTACTTTCAGAACATGTTATTATAATACCTACATGATGTGTAACAAACTAACAATGTTCAAGTTACATTCACCGACTCTGAGTTACAGATCCACAATGCCAAGCCCTACCTCAAAGGCTTCTCCAAGACCCTAGGCAGAGCAGACCCTAAAAAAAGAAGTGCATTAAGGAATATTACCCCCACAACAGCTTCCTCATGGATTGGGAGGTCTGGCCTGGTAATTTAAGGAGATGGCTGGAAGGGAGCAGAGCCTAGCTTGGAATAGCAACTCTGTTCCTCCCAGAATCCCCATTTGCTCCCAGTAGAAGAGCCCCTGGAACTGGTAAGGAAACAGCCATACTGGGGTCCCTGTGGCAGACAGGCTTTCCCTGATCCCACTGTGGGCCAGGGGGCCTCGTGAGCAGCACAGCTCTGCTCCTCCAGGGGGGCTGGACTGGACTGAGGCTGAGTGTGAGGGGAATGTTTGCTGTTTGCTGCCGGTCCCTGTTGACTTTAGCCAGTAGCTCTGTTTACAAACCCAGGTTGGTTTTCCCAGCACAGTTAATTAGACCAAAGACATCTGGTGTGAGGGCTAGGGAGGGCATCTGCTCAGAGCATTCCCCCCGCACCCAGCAGCCATGGGCTAGCGCAGGGCAGAGCAGCTAAGCAGGACCAGGCCAAACTCCACCAAACCCAAGGTTCTCAGGAGAATCGTGGCTTCTCTCACTCTGCTTTTCCCATGTTTGGTGAGTTAAACTGTAGGCCTACTCTCTGAGTCTTAGGGGACCCCAGGAGTCAAGGTTGGATGAGATTCACAGTGGAATAACAAGCAGGAGAGCAAGGACTCAGGCCTCTGCCCTTACACATCCAAAAGAACCAGACAGAGGTTCCTGTACCCTCTCTCATCCCAGTGACAGCATTCTCTAAGAACGTGGTACCCCTTCAGCCCCCAGCAGGAAAATCTCTCCTCCCTGGACAACCACTGGAGAGGAAGCTTTGCGGCTACCTCCTCCACCTCCCTTACTGCTCACCAGCCAATCTCTGACCCTGGGGGGAAGAAAGAGATTAACCAGTCCAGGACCAGAAGGCGGTAGGAAGGTGCCCAGAAGGTCAGAGGATCTAGGTGGACAGTTCCAGGGCTATGGGGAAGTGGAGGGCTGGGCTGGGGAGGGGCAGCGGCTTATCTCTCCCAGGAGGAGGGAGCTCACTCCAAACAGCTAATGCACTGGCGTGTGAAAGCCCCTCAATTAGCACTAATGATGCAATCAGGGAGGGAGGAGGAGGAACCAGAAAGCCTGACAGAGTCAGCACCAATTTACACACACGCTACACACTCCCATTCTCGGACACAGTGGTCCCTTCAGACACTCCAGTGCACGCACTCCGCAGACTAGTCTGGCCCACGCACGTCCGTGGGTACAACTGCATTCTTTGCACAAACTACAAATGGTTAGTGATCTGCTGGCGCTCGCGTCTAACTGCGGGGATAACGGCGGGGGGGTTTCGATTCTGGACTTCGGGGACAACGGAAACCCCGAATCTCCGAAAAATTCATGATTATTCCTCTTATCCCAGAGTTCCCTTCCCACGCGCCCTCGCAGGTGCCAGCCCCTCCGCGTACGCCACCCCGGATACTCCACCTACGAACCCGCGACTGGGCGAGGAGCCGCCACCTCCAGCCCACCCGCGGGAGACGGGACCCAGTATGCCCCAAGGCCCAGGGTCCCAGGGAGGGCGGTCCAGCACCCCGGGTCCAGCCAGCTGCTCGTCTCCTCCGGAGCCCGTTCATCTTCCCCATGCCGCCCGGCCGGCTGCGTTATCTTCCTCTCGGTCCCGTTATCCCGCAGCCCCGGCCCCGTTATCCGACCCCGCGGTGGGCCGCTGCTCTCCCCTCCCCCTCCTCCACTCGAGTTCTGAGGGCCCCGGGCTGGGCAGGGCCGGAGCCGCCTCCGCGCCGCTTCCCAGGCCCGGACGGCCACGGGAGGAGGTCCCGCTGTCAGTCAGCGGGGAAGGCCGGGCCGGGCGGCCGGAGGGGGCGGTGCCGAGGACGGGCTCAGGCCGGGAGCTGAGAGGCGGAGGCGGAGGGGGCGGGGGCGGCTCCGGGCCTTATAAGCAGCGGGGGCAGGGCGGGAGGGAGGCAAGTGTCAGGCCGATGTGCCGCCCGCAAGGGGCCGGGGTCGGGGCCGCCGGGGCCATGCACGAGGGCTGGGCAGGGGGCAGGCTGGGCGCGGAGCGGAGCCGCCTCGGAGCCTGAGCCTCCCGGGGCCCGGCCGGGGAGCCTCGCGGGGCCGGCCGGCCGGGGGGAGGGGAGCGATGCGGCGCCGGCGGGCGGCGGTAGCCGCGGGTTTCTGCGCCTCTTTCCTGCTCGGCTCCGTCCTCAACGTGCTCTTCGCACCGGGGTCGGAGCCGCCGCGGCCAGGCCAGTCCCCCGGGCCCTCGGTAGCCCCGGGCCCGGGACGTCGCGGGGGCCGCGGGGAGCTGGCCCGGCAGATCCGAGCGCGCTACGAGGAGGTGCAGCGCTATTCCCGCGGGGGCCCTGGGCCCGGGGCTGGCCGACCGGAGCGGCGGCGCCTGATGGACCTGGCTCCGCGCGGACCGGGCCTTCAGCGTCCCCGGCCCCCGCGGGCCCGGCCCCTGCCCGACGGCGCCCCTGGCTGGCCCCCTGCTCCCGGGCCGGGCTCTCCCGTGCCGGGCCCGCGCTTGGGCTGCGCCGCACTCCGCAACGTGTCCGGCGCACAGTACGTGGGCTCGGGCTACACCAAGGCCGTGTACCGGGTCCGCCTGCCTGGCGGTGCCGCGGTGGCGCTCAAGGCGGTGGACTTCAGCGGCCACGATCTGGGCAGCTGCGTGCGCGAGTTCGGGGCACGGAGGGGCTGCTATCGCCTGGCGGCCCACAAGCTGCTCAAGGAAATGGTGCTGCTGGAGCGGCTGCGGCACCCCAACGTGCTGCAGGTATGAGGGTGGGGGTGCGGGAGTGAGGGTGCTGACTGGACGTGCCCAGTCACTAGCTAGAAGAGAGCCCTTGGTCTTGTAAAGAAACGCAGCCCCAATGATTGTGCCCAAGTTAAGCTAGGAACAGAACCCAGACCATTGCCACTACACCACCCTGCCTCCCACTCCTCGGGTGGGTGTCCCTTTATAGAGGAACTTCTGGGTTTCCCAGCTTCCACACCATATCCCTTGAAGACAGGCCAAGACAGAGGGTCCCAAAATTTGAGGTGAGGGTGGGGTCGGTTAGGACTTAGGACCTGCTTCTGGCTGGAACTGGGGTGTTCAGCACCAGGGAAATGACCTCACGCCAAGACACTGAACAAGTCAGCCCTCGGGCTTCCAGTTGCTGCGGTAGAGTCCCATTTCTTGAAGGAATCTGAACCCCACTTTCTCAACTTCCAAGCAGTGACTTGTCTGGCTTTGAAGATGGGATGGGACAGCAGTGGAGTTGGGAAGGGCTAGAAAGAGACCCTGTGTCAGTCTTGATTCCCAGAGAATAGCCCCACACCCTTCCGACCCAGAAGCCACTGGAAGGGCTGGAGATGATTGAGTAGTAGGCCAGAAAATGCACTGCCCTTTCCAGAAGTGACCCTAGAGTTCTCCAGGCCTTAAAGAAGGCCCTTGAACTATTGGGGAAGTGTCAGGGTCTTAACTCAGTGCTCAGGGGACAGGCTGAGGGCCTGAGGGTGTGAATGTCACATTATCTGAGCAAATGTGACAAAGAGGCTAGAAGATTGAGACTAGATGCCCAGGTTCCTGCTAAATGGGACTCTGTCTCTCCTGTTCACCGAGGGGCAGATAGGTGACCCTGCATTGTTCCTTGCAGACTAGACGAAGAAAGTGGATCTCTGCCTGTGCCAAGATTGCCCTAACTCACCCACTTCCTCCTCTCCCACAGCTCTCCGTCCTTGAGTCTGCCCTAGGATTAGACAAACTGTTCCCTTTGCACATGTCTGAGCAGACTGAGAGGGGAATCCCTGACTGCTCTTGGCCAGTGAACATAGGGTGTGTGCAGACTCCCCAACGGAGGAAACCTACCTACATCTTCTACCTCCCAGTCTACTCAAAATAACCTGTCTGCCCCCAGCAGAACTAACCAGAAATCGAGGGATACTTCCCTCCTTTCCTTGGAAGTGAGGTGGACCCCAGGCCTCGCTGGGATTGTAGAACAGGAGAGATTGGCCAGAGAGCCATTTATACTCTAGCTGGCCCCCAGTCTCCCCAGAATACCCCAATTGTGGTCAGACACTTTTGAGGCCCAGAACTTGTTGCAGAAGCTTGGGCAGAACCAACAGTTGTGGGAGGTTATACCCGGTTGCACGGCTGACGCTGTGTATGGAGCGTCAGGGAGTGAGCATCTGGTTACGTGGCCATTCTAACTGGGAGGATCTTATTCTCATCACTTCCCAGGGGCTGTTGGGAAGGTTTTTGGAAATCTTGGGGTGTCGGCCAGATTGTGAGGCAGCAGAGAAGGTTTTGAGTGACTTAGCAGGACATTAAGTGTTAGTTAATTGGCTCAATATCCACTTAAGAGGTTTGAGGTTCTATGTACTTTACTGTCATGTAAGGAACTTCTCAAACCCTAGGTCACCCACCCAAACTTCCTGAAAAGTATCTAGCCAACTGTCCCCACACATCACAGATGTGTCCTTCAGTTTAATGTTAGGCTCCCAGCCCAATTCTGAAGACATCAAAGAAAAAAACTGGATAGTTTTCACCCATTCCCTCACTAGGTCTGTCTAGGGTTGGTTATGTGACTCTTACAGGGTCAGAGATGGGTTAGTTGCCCTAGGGCACGAGCGTTATAAGGTGGGGAGGGTCCCAGGGCCTTTCTGTCTGGGAGAAGGTGAAAAGCTACCATTCCTAGGGGGCAGGGGTCCGTTAATGTAAGTTTAGCTACTGCTTTGAGGGTGGTTCTCCCCCATTTATCCCCTGACCCCCAGGCCAGTGTCCCTCTGGCTTCTTCAGCAATGCCACCACTTCTGCCAGGGAGGCCTGTTGTGGGGTCTTCTTGCTCAAGAGGCTTCAGTACAGGTGTGCTGGGAACTAGAAATAATGCTGTGCTAATACCTCTTAATTGTTTAAAATTTCAAAACCATTTGACGGTTTGCTGAACTGGGGAGGAGCCAGAGAACATTTTGTAGCATTCCTGCTCCCCCATGCTGCCTAAGGCCCCCTCCCAACTCTCTGGTAGCCCCAGAGTTGGTGCTGTGGGTTCTAATAGAAAACACCCAGGCCAGCATGTCCCACTGGGCACCTCCCACCACTTGCTCTGGTCTCTGGGGACTGCCCAGGTGCCATCTCTCCATCCATCTTTTGTGACCCCCTCCCCAACCCACGTCTGACACACACACTCCCTCACATGATAGATGCCTCTAAAGCCCAGGTTTAAAGGGCACAAGGGTCCTCCCTCTCCCCCATCTCTGTCTGCCCGGGCCTCAGGCTTCAGATGGGGGCCCCCAGCATGTTGGGCCCAGATTCTGGCCCTGCTAGAGTATATTTCGTTTCCCAAACAAAGATGCGACTGGAATGCTCAGCCTCTCACTTCCTGGGGGGGATGGGGTGGGGGTTAATGGTATCTTTTTATTTTTTCCTGAGGAGTGTTGATTAATACCTCGTTAACAGGGCATTTAACGACCTCCGGGTGTTTAATAACCTTCAGAAGTTTCCCACAAAGGCTCAGACTCTGGGCAAGAAAATGAGAACCAGGCCCCAGGGCTGCCCCCCTTACCTTCCCCCCACCCCCCACAACCCTGCCAGGGTCTGGGGCCTCCCTGGGGTCAATGTGGGGATGGGGATGGAAGGTGGTGACAGAGGGAAGGAGAGGGTACCTGTGACTGCTCCCTGATCCCCCCAAGGCACAGTCCTGGTGATCTGATGGTGGACACTGAGTCGTGCCTTCCCTCGTGCCAGCAGGACTGGGACTCAGAGTGGGAGCTGGAAGGGCCATTCTGGAAGGGAAGGGGTATGTGGGAGTCTGGAGTGGAGCTGGGAAGCTGTGAATGATGGCAGGAAGGGTGATAGTATGCAGGGCCATCTAGCCCGTGGCTTAGCTCCCCGGCCACACCTCCCCTCCAACCCCTCATCCTGCAGCTCTCCCCTCTCCCTACCCTGGCCTGGACCCCTGGCCTTTGTGTTCCTACCCCACAGGGTGCTGGGTGTTTTGAGCACTGTCTGACCCCAAGGTGATGTGCAGTGTGGCAGGAAAGGCCAGGAGAAATAAGGCTCTCTGTGGATGCTGGTCTAGGTGTTAGTGACAGTCAGGCTGTGCCTCCTGGAAGGCCCTGGTCAGCTAAGCTATATCAAGACTCTCCCCTAGATAATGTGGAGGGTCTTGATATAGCTCCCCAAAGAACTGATATTCCCCAGGAACCTTGTCTTACTGTTACTCCCTCTGATGCACGGGAACCCCCCCGCCACTCCTCACCCCTGCCCACCAAGTATGAAGAGAACACCCAAGGATGCACCCCTTACTTTGTTCTTGCACTTCTACCAATCCCAAAGGAGTTTGCTTTTCCTCCCACAAGACCCAAGCGGAGAAAGAACGAAGCTGCCAGAAAGAGGAACTGATAAGGAATAAACAAGGACTGGAGCAGGGGAGGAAGTATAATGACTATTGGCTGGCTTGTCAACTAGCAAATAGTATTCTTGGAAAGAACCAGGCTTTGGAATCAGAATGGTGTAAATTTGAATCCTAGCTCCTACATTTATGAGCTGTGTGACCTGATGCAAGTAACTAAACTTCTCTGAGTTGGCTTCCTCATCTGTATATTAGAGTTAATAATGGCACCTACTAGTTTAATGTTATTTTAAGAACTGAGTCATGCATTAAAATACTTAGCACAGTGCCTGGCACATGATTAGCTCATGGTGGCCAGGCTTTCCAGGCAACACCACTGTTCTCCTCTGGCCTGAGCTGAAGCAAAAGCCTAGAGATGGGCGGAGGTCGGAGTAAGGGGACATCTGACAGCCCAGCGCTTCTCTTTCCCCACCCCTACCCTATGACCTAACGGCTGCCTCGGGCCTCTCCCAGCTCTATGGCTACTGCTACCAGGACAGCGAGGACATCCCAGACACCCTGACCACCATCACGGAGCTGGGAGCCCCCGTGGAAATGATCCAGCTGCTGCAGGCTTCTTGGGACGACCGATTCCGAGTGAGCAGGGAGGAGGGCCCGGGCCCAAGACTCCTTGCTGGGATGGTTCTCCCTTAGAAGGCCAGTACCCCAGAGCAGCTTCAGTTCCTCCTCAGTCAGGGGAGAGGGAGGGAAGGACAGAGCTAAGCTGACTCAGCCATTAGCCAGAGGGTTAAAAAAAAGCAAGATATAGAGGACCCTGACATTTCTGTGCTCTTGCTGCACACATAGCCTCGGCTGCAGGAGGGCCGGTGTCCCAGGACTAGAAAAGAGCTTAAGGTCATCTTCACCCTTTCTCTATTTCCATACACTGAACTAAAACCACACTCAAGATGCAACTTTGGGATGAGATTTATGATCCCCAGACTCACCTGCTGTCCACTTACATGTCATTTGTAGTGTCAGGCCAGCCAAGGGAAAAAAAATCACTGGGTTGCTCTGTAAGGCCCCTTAGTGAGCACTGGGACCTTTAAGAGAAACGCCTACCCCCAGCTAAGTCAGGAGCACCAGGAGTCCCCCAGGACCCCTCACAGGGGAGAAGCAGTGAGCCATCTTGTGTCTGCTCCCCAGATCTGCCTGAGCTTGGGCCGCCTTCTCCACCACCTGGCCCACTCCCCACTGGGCTCTGTCACTCTGCTGGACTTCCGCCCCCGACAGTTTGTACTGGTGGACGGCGAGCTGAAGGTGACAGATCTGGATGATGCACGTGTGGAGGAGACGCCATGTGCAAGCAGTGCTGATTGCATACTCGAGTTTCCAGCCAGGAACTTCACCCTGCCCTGCTCAGCCCAGGGCTGGTGTGAGGGCATGAACGAGAAGCGCAACCTCTACAATGCCTACAGGTGACCTCCACCCCCACTCAATAAGGCCAGCGAAGGAGTGTGGGCCCGGGAGGGTACGGTGGGGCGGAGAGGCAACATGGAGTCCAGGCCAGCCAGGGCGGGGTTGCTCAGCCTTGACCAATGGTGTAGCAGGGGCGAGAAAGGCTTCCACCCAGTCAGGAAGAGAACATTCAGGCTCCTGCTGATGAGGCTAAAAATAGCTCCAAGGAGTCTGGGTGGGAGGGTAGCAGCTGGAGGCTTCTTAAAATAGTATCAGACTCAGAGCCTAGGGCCAGTAAGGCTGGCAGTGCCCCTTCCTCTCCTGGTTTCAGGTCCGGAAGCTCTTCACTGGGCTCAGCCATGGGGCTGCTCTGACACTGGTCAACCAAGGGTATAATGGGGGACTAAGGTCAGGGAGGTCCTGGGGAATAGATGAGGAAAACAGACCTCTGAGTCAGTTCGGGAAGATGTTAGCTGTGCCTTTAGCATGTACCCAAAGCCCTCCTTTCCTGAGGCTGAGTAGGCTCCATGGCCAGATTGGGAATTCTGTCCCAGGTTGGGGTAGTTAAAGGGTGTGTCCCCGAAGGCTGGACCACTGAGCCCTCGGTTTCTCTCTGGCCCAGGTTTTTCTTCACATACCTCCTGCCCCACAGTGCCCCACCCTCACTACGGTCTCTGCTGGACAGCATCGTTAATGCCACAGGTGAACTCTCCAGGGCCCATCTGCTTCCCATCACCCTGCCCCTCCCCCAGCGGGCATGTGGACAGGAATGACCCAGGACAGCACATGATCCAGAAACCATCATTGCCTCAAATGGCATTCTGCGGCAGACCCCGTCCCCAGTGCGCCCACCATCTGGGCCCAGGCTTCAGAGGGAGAGAGGGGAAGGTGGCTGGCTGCCTGCCTTAGGGAGGGCATGAGCTCACGCCCCTCTCACAGTCACACTGTACTCTGCAGGAGAGCTCACCTGGGGGGTGGATGAGACCCTAGCCCAGCTGGAGAAGGTGCTGTACCTATACCGGAGCGGGCAGTATCTGCAGAACTCCACAGCAGTCAGCAGAGCTGGTGAGTGGCCCCAGTAGGGTCCCAGGGGCTGGGGAGGTGGGGAGCAGGTCAGAGGTTGAGTGATGCCCCTAAGTGGGCTAAGTGGCTCATCCTCCCTGTATGGGTCACTTGGAGTGGGGCAGAGACTTCTGACTGTTTAGCCTTCCCTTGAGGGTCTCATCTCTGCCTGAGCTAGAACAACTATGATTCTGCCTTGAACTGGAGGTGGACACGGAGAACCCTCCACTGGGTGGTTCCAAACCCCAGTATGTACTGACTGACTTTGAGCAGGTGGCTTACACCATGAGCCTCACTTGCTTCATCTGTGAATTGGGTTCAGTATTACCTGCCTCAAAAAATTCTTATGGGGATTTAATGCCTGGTAAAATGTGTGAGAGCAATTAACTCAGTCCCTCTTACACAACTGGAACACAATACATGTTTGCTTCTCTTTCCTTCTTCTATCCTGGGGTTAGGAGGGCTGCTGGAGGTGGAGGAAGGCTCTACACTGAAACTAGTCAAGACTGCCAGGCTGAATTCTAACTGCTGCTGATGGGCTGTGGTCCCCTAAGGCCCTCGGGTTTAGTACAGTTGGCAGGGGGTGAGGGGTGGGCAGACTCCGTATTCAAGGAGCTCTGGCCAGGCTTAGGGGTGGGAGAGCCCTCGTTAGCCCTGTAAATAAAATTTAACGAGGTGAACAATGGCTGGCTCTGTCCCTTAGGACGCTGTTTATGGGGCTATAAATCACAGCCAGCCCTGGACTTTGGTCTAGCCCCTGGTAGAAGAAGGAGGCAGGAGGGCGGGGTAGCCAGAGGCCCAGGGCTTCTGCATTATCAGTCCAGAGCTGGGGCTTACTGGGCAGCGGGAAAGCCTCAGGTGAACAGGCCTGCAGCTGAGCAGCTTCCTCAGAGAGGAGATTTCAGGGCCTTTGGGGGCTCTTTCTGTATATTGACTGGGGAGATCTGATCCTTCTCCCGCTTTCTCCGCAAACATTCTCATTGTGGATTCCCAAAAGGTAATTTTTGTTTCATGTTCATTTGCATGCCTCTTCAAAAATCCCTGACTGCCCTCCAGTGTAAGGAGTTTGCCTACCCTCCTTTCCCCAAGGCCAGCAGGAAGTGGCCCCAGCTCTTACCCTGGGCACACAGAACTCTCTTTTGAGCCCCATTCCTAACCCACAGAGTACCGGCACCTCCCAGGCAGCACCATCCCCCAGGAAGACTACCGCTGCTGGCCATCCTACCACCACGGGAGCTGCCTTCTTTCAGTGTTCAATCTGGCTGAGGCTGTGGACGTCTGCGAGAGCCATGCCCAGTGCCGGGCCTTTGTGGTCACCAACCAGACCACCTGGACAGGTGAGCCAGTGAGAAAGGACATCCTGCAGGAGATGACTGTTCTTGACCAGAAGAGATTGACAGGTAGTGTCCCCCATCAGAAGCCAGAGATAAGAGGCAAGTGTATGTGTCCTCCAGGCAGTTGCATTAGGAAGAGTGGCCCTGCCTCCAGGGAGAGAAACACCCAGTCCTGTTACCTCTCACCTCTACCCTCAGGTCGGCAGCTGGTCTTTTTCAAGACGGGATGGAGCCACGTGGTCCCTGATCCCAACAAGACTACATATGTGAGGGCCTCTGGCTGATCCGAGGGCTCAGCTGACAAACTGGCCGTCACCACCGGCTGGGCTGCCTATGGACGGAGTGACTTGCACTCGCAGCTCTGCATGTCACTTCGGAACGCGTGCAGCCAAGGTGACATCCCAGGCAGACTGAGGTGACCAGGACAATGTGCAATAATGCCAAATGTTAAAATGTGAGTTTACCAGTCTAGGTATGGGACTGCTGGCTCCAGGGCCAGGAATCATGGGTGCTGACTGCTTCGCCAACCCTCTGGGTTGCCAGCAAGGCTCCAGCTAGGCTCCCCACTGGGGTCTCTACCCCTCACTGGGACAGTTCGGTGGGCAACCCATCACTGTGTTCCTAGTGTGAGAATGTAGCCGAAGCCCCTGGCTGCTGCTGCTGTCGCACATGCCACAGCCTGGCAGGGGCTGTGTGGGGACAATCGGTCACGGGGTGTTTTCCCAGCCGAGCTCCGAACAGGAGACTTGACCCGGATGCTGTGGGAAGTGGGTGATTCTGTACCAGGGGAGGCTGCCTCTGGCCAAGTGACAGGAAGCTCCCATGAGCCACGCAGGGGCAGGAACAGGGGAGCACACATGGTATGAGCCAAGACATGGGGTGGAGGAGCAGGTTGCGGTTTGAGCCAGGACCTGGGGCGGGGGTGGGGCCGGGGCCTTTCTGCCTCATTTGCTTTCAGTGAAAGCCGCAAAGCAACCAAAACCAGCCTGTCCCCCCGCCTGGAGTTTGTATATCCAGAAGCTTTTGTACTTCTTGTTTGTTAAAATGTTTATTTTTGTAAAAAAAAAAAAAATCAATCAATTAATAAAATGACATTTCACGGCAAGGACTTTGCCCAGGTCACTGTGGGCTCACTTACTTGTCCTCAGTTATGTCTTTGGTGTATGTTTATAGCAGAGACAGTGTGTCATGAGGGATGACCTTTGGGGGAGTAACATCTAAACACTGAAGTTGGCAAAATGTGTTTTTAGGCCTTGCTTCCATGGTGCCCACCTCCCTCCCTGACCCTCCACATCCAAGTCCTGGCAAAAGATGTGAGGGATTCCTTCTTCCTCTAAAGAGGTTCACATTTTAATGGATACCCACCAGCTTCTTATGTACAAAGCCTTTACTCAAAGGACTGAGTCCTAATGTTGGGATGTCAGCCACGTCAGGAGACCCCAGGCAACCTGCAGCTGGGTCATCGTTAACTTCCATACAGGGTTGGGCCTGGCCATCATCTCCATTGCTCACCACACAGTAATGAGCACTTTTCTTTTGCTGAACCTTTCTCTGAGCAACAAATATATGTGAAGTGGAGTGAAAAGAAGGTCTATGGAAAGACCAGCCCCATCTTACTGGGTTTTAGGAGGGAGGATCTAGCAGGGGAAGGCCCAAGTGTATGGAAGTCCAGAACAAAAATGAAGACCAAGGGTTTAAGATTATACTGAGGCCAGAGAGAACCCCAGCATGGATGCAAGTCTTCTAACTTGAAACCCCACAGTTTCTCTCCTGTACACCATTCTGCTTCTAGAATATTCTCAAAGTGTGCAAACCTTTGAGAGCTTTAAAAAGAATAATCAAACTTTAACTCAGAACCCAATTTCTCCTCAACAGATGTGGTTGGGGTAATTTCTCATATACATACAAGATGCCCTTGTAGTTCTAACTTACTGAGGACCTGATGTGAGCTGTGGTGTCCCCATCATGGATGCTGCTCAGACCCTCAAGGTTGCACCTCACCACCACCACACTCAATGCACACATGCCCCATCTTGCTTCCAACTACTTAGATGTGGTGGCTTTGGCGGGGCAGGGAGGGTCAGAGCCTGCACATCATGACATGGTGTGACCCAGCAGGCTGGGCCACCAGTATTGGTCCCCACCCTTCGAAGAAGGACCTCAGCTTTCATCAGTCTCCAGACCCCCTTCCTCAGCTGAATCCATGGGCTACAACACGTGTAGCCTGCCCCAGGCCATCCAGTGCTAGCGTTTGCGCTGCCCTCTGTTGCTCTCCAGCTGCCAACAAATCTGTGGGGCTCTGAGGGCAGGAGGAGCCATGTCACCATGCTGGGCCGAGACTGGAAGGTCTGCAGGGTCTGTGCAGCTCAGAGGGAAATGACCTCGACCAGCGGAGAGGCCCCCAGGGCCCAGGAATTTGCAAATGACTCGGGGACAAAGGGGACAGCTGCAGATGAATCAAACACTGCTTTCTGGACTTCTAGGAGTTTCCAGGTGAGGGTTCACTGGGCCACAGAGAGGGCCAGGCTCTGATGTCTGTGAAGTATGACTGTCATTCCAGTTTTACGGACTTGAAAACTGAAACTCAGGTCATAGCTGCTGGGGACTTGTGAGTGTTCAAATCCAGCCCTGACTGCCAAGCCTGTCCCAGGGTAGAATTGCAGCAAGGGGAATCTAAGTTACAGTGAGGGTGCCCTCACTTACTCTGAGTGTGTGACAAACTAAAATGGGGGTCCAAAACACAAAACTTTTTTAAAAGACTCACACACAAGTGGTGGAAGGGATGATAGCTAGCTTCTGCCTCAGTGAGTGAGCCCTGCCTCAGCACCTATTTCTGGGGGCAAAAATGGCCAGGCTCAGTCCAGAGTAGAAGGAAGGGCATTTGCAGCTGGGAATGGACAGGTCACCTGAAAGAAGGGGAGTTCAAGTAAAAGCCTGAGGCAAAATCATTCCTGCCTGCAGATGGCTGTTTACATGTAGCCACCTGTCTCCCTGGGAAATGTCTAGTTCCTGGGTCCATCTTATCCCCTTCCTGAGGAAGCCAGAGCTGCACCCTCCCTCCATCTCCAAAGTCTGTCCACTACAGTGCACAGCCAGTGATACCCAGGCCTACTCCAAGGAAGAAACACATTCACCCAGCTAAAGCCTCAGGGCACAGTACCAGAGGAGGGAAGCTGGAAGGGGATCGTTCCCAGGACTGAAGAAGCCACACGCAAGGGGCTGTGTTGCTGAGGGGTCCCCACAGAGCTCCCAAGGAATCCTGGCCAGGCCTACTTTTTTGCTCACTGTGTAATGCAGGCCACAACTCCCTTAGCCTCCATCTCCTCATCAGCAAATTTCAGATTAATAATATCTGCTTCACAGTGTTACAGGAATTGGGTGAAATTCTGTCTATACAGATCCAGCATCATCAACTCATAAATGCTTAGGAAATACTGGCTGATACTGTTACTGTTAAGAGTGAACCAAGTCCTCAACTTTCATCCATGGCCTGAGCTGGGGACCAAGGCTCAGCCAGACCGTCCCTACTGCCCACCTCCAGCCTCCCCAATAGCAGGCACTGCCATTACCCTGAGGAGGTGGGGCCGGGCACTCTGGGTCAGTTCCCTGGAGTTGAGTGTGTGTCAGACAGAAGGAGGAAGAGGATTAACATGAAAGCAGAAAATGGGATTAGGAGGCCTCAGGATAACGTGCCCACCCACCCCCCATCCATGACAACAGCTACTTGCTTTCCCTCGGTGACTTCTGGAGCCTGGAGCATGTAAGGCTTGGCTGCCCCCTTTTCTCAGGGGCAGAGCCAGGAACAGACTTGGTGGACTCAGCATGAGACCACTCAGTCCGCTAAGAGAGCCTGGGCCACTTTTATATGTACCTCCTCATGTAATCCTCATGGCAGCCCTGTGAGATGGGTGATGGACCAGAGAGGTGAGGAGCCAGCATTCATGCCTAGGCAACTGCGCCTGAAAACCTGTGTTCCTTCCCCTCTACCCACTGTCTCACACAGGAGCAACACAGTGACCGCCTGAACCCAAAAGATCAAAGATCCACTCCCATCTTTGGAAGGATTCCCAGGCCCACATCCCATCTTTGATGGAAAGCCCCAAAGGCAATTTAAGGAGACTAAGTCCGCCTCCGTGGCATCATCTAGTGAAGGTAATGCCCCCAAAGAACTGGAGCTCTTCTAAGCACCCCTTTGAGGTCTGTTGTGTGGGACTTTTATTTTCCCTGTTTACCTCTATGAATCCAACCAGGCCAGCACTACGCCCTTGGGTGGAGAAAGCGCTACATCACTCCTGACTATGTGAAAGAGATGGACCTCCTCTCAAGCTCCAGAGGAGCCTTGGGGACCATGTAGAGGGCGTCATTCTCCCATCCCATTCCGTGACCCAGATCAAGGGCCCTTTCAGCCTCCTGCTTCACAGTGTTATGGGAATTGGGTGAAATTCTGTCTGTAAAGATCAAAACCAGCATCAGCAACCCGTAAATGCTTAGGAAATACTAGCTGTGTTTGGTGCTGTGTTCCCCTGTCCTCCTGCCCCATCCTACCCAGCCCCACATCCTCTCCCCTGCCCTCTGCTGGCCTCATTCCAGCTCCAAAATGTCTCTCCTGAGGTACAGTGACAAGACATTCCCCTCCCCCCATATCATTCAGGGTCCCAACAGGACATGAGAGCATAATGTACCTAAGGCATACGTACATATATGTGGGTATGGAGGAACCCCAAGGATAGTGCTGGAACCTGGGGCTGGTAGCTACAGAGCTGTTACTATCTCTACCCCAGGGAAGGGAGTGGGGTCTGTTAGCAGAACCCAGAATGAATCAAGTGAGCAAAGGAAGAGGCAGGCAGGGTGGCCTCACAGGAAGGAGACGGAAAATCACGTCCTTTCACCTCACTTTCTTCCCACTGCCCTGCCTCCTCCTCCTGTGGAGCTCTCCAGTGAGCAAAACCACCCAGAAGCCAGAGGCGAGCCTGGTGTGAGATCTGTGATGGTCAGGGGGCATACATTCTCACCACAGACACGACCATCCCCAACAACGTAGTAAATGAAAAAAATTATAAATATCAAAGTGGTTTTTGGCCTTCCAAAGGCCCACAGTACATAAACAGATACATAGTATATCCCTGTTATTAAAATGCCATGGGGGTAGTAGCAATTGGGAAAAAAGTATCCACAAGAACACTTGGCAGGGGAGGGAGCAATAATGAAAAATAGGTTCAGAAGCCCTGAATTAGACTGATCCAAAACACTCTCTTGGGCTGTCATTGAGAGTTTCAAATCTGTCACCCTCAACAATTAAAGTGCAATTTGAATTATTTTTCATTTAATGCTTTATTCAACCTACCATTGCCCATGAGGAACACCATGGGCCACTCATGAGCCTCCTGCATTTCCCTGCAGCTTGCAGCCTCTGGCTGGTATTTCCCTACCAGGAAGAGCTCAGGATTATTGGTAAGCCGGGGGATCTCAATATATACTCACTCTTCTCTTAACCGATCAAGCCACAAAATCTTTCTTGTGTGCAATCACTGTAATGAATACTGAAGTATCAATCATGCCCCGTGTCTTTTAGCTGCTCACAATGTCACTAGAGATGTCACAAAGATGGACAAATTCAACAAAGCAATATATGAGCTGTGACACGTGGGGCCTGTGAAAGCAAAGGGCTTGATGGTCACTTCTCGAATCTCTACGAGGCGGTTAACCTGGTCCCCCAGGAGCACCAGTTCCACACCAGGAGCCCCACTGTTAACACTTTTCCATCCGGAGAAAGCCTCACTTATTCTTGTTCTGTATTTCTTCTAAGGCGATTCCCTATTGTCCCCCAGACATTCCCCCCATTTCCATGGCAACTCAACAGGCTTTGGTGTGGAGCCTGTCAGAGGCTTCTTGAAAGAGCAAATAGAGTGTGTCTACTGTTTCCACCCTTATCCATACACTTATTTGGTTCTTCAAAGGGCTCTAGTAGATTAGGGAGGCACAATTTCTCCTTAAGAAAGACAGCCTTCCTTTCCCCAGGAGGTGGAGTTTGCTCAAGGGCTCCATAATCCTGCCAGTAGAGGTTACGCTGACTTGCCTGGCATGGAAACAAAACTTGAGGACCGTTTCC